AAATTGAACAGACTCAATTGTGAAACACTGTAGGGAGAAGGGCAAAATCCCAGTGCCCTTTTAGTTTTCTACTTCTTTCTTTTTGTTCTTAGAGAAGAGTTTAGATTTTGAACAATTCTCTTCAGTAGTATACATAATTGAGGGCTCATAAAGTAGACATAGTGTTTCCTCTTGCTCAGTGTGTTGAAACTGCACAAATTAATGAAAAATCAAAGCAACCTCAATGTTTACATTATTAATTAGAAAACAGGGAAATTTAGTCTTGCTGTTTCTGCTTGGTTGTTTTAAGGGTCTTAGTAATTGATAAGAATGCCGAAAGGAAAAGGATAAATTCCTTTACATATGTAGAGGGTTTTTCTCCTCCACACAGAGGAGCTGTAACAGGGCTTTTACTGGGAGAGACTAGCTTCCCTGGCCTTCAGGTCTCCTGGTGGTGGTCTCTATGAAGAGCCCGTCAAGTCCACTGAGGAATACATTTAGCCATTCCCACAAATTAGTGTGTGTCTCTCCTTCTTTTATCTTCCACCCCTCCACCCTTATTTTCTTTTCTCCTTCCTTCCTTTCTTCCTTCTTCCCCCTCCATCTTTATTACTTACAGTTTTCTCCAGGTTTTTTTGGAAATTGGTTGTGTGCCTTTTTCAATACCAGGTGCAAATAACAGTAGCAACCCTATTTCTGTAATTCAGCTATCCCCCCCCCCCCAAATTCTGCTATTCTGTAATTATGCTAATTCCCCCCCCCAAATATCAAAGGTTAGTTTTTCACCCTCTGACTGCTAGTAATCACCAATAGTCATCTATTTTTTAATCACACTGTTTTTTCCCACACTGTTACATTCGAATGACTTCATACATTTCCCCCCCTGTTCTTTGTTGCCATCCCTATGCTTTTAAGAGAATTCCACAGGTGACTACTATATGAATATTTAATTTGATCCTTTTAGGTTTCTGATGGATTCAGAAATCTTTTTGACAGTTTTTCTAGGAACTTACTGTGAGGGAGCATGGTGGGTTGGTGGGTGTTTGGGAGTGGCAAAAGCTGGAATTTCGGAGACCTGGTAATTGGGTCTCACTCTGCCATGTGTTAATTATAATTACTACATAATCCTGGACAGCTCTCCTATAGCTGGAAGGTCTTTCTCTGTAAAACAGTGATATTAGTTCCCATGTCAGATTCGCTTTTAAAAAAAAAAAATTTTCTTTTTTAAATTTTTTTATTGATTATGCTGTTACAGTTGTTCTATTCCCCCCTTCATTCCCCTCCACCCTACCCCATCCCCACCATTACCCCCCCCTTTAGTTTATGACCATGTGTCTCAAGTTCTTTAGATTCTATATTTTCCATACTATTCTTGCCCTTCCCCCTATCTATTTTCTATCTACTGTCTATGCTACTTATTTTCTGTACCTTCTCCCCCCTTCTCCTCCTCCCACTCCCCTGTTGCTAACCCTCCTTGAGATCTTCATTTCTATGTTTCCACTTTTGATTTAGCTGTCCTTTTAGTTTGCTTTTGTTTTAGGTGTGGTTGTTAATAACTGTGAGTTTGTTGTCCTTTCACTGTTCATGTTTCTTAAACTTCTTTTTCTTAGATAAGTCCCTTTAACATTTTATATAATAAGGGCTTGGTGATGATGAACTCCTTGAATTTGATCTTATCTGAGAAGCACTTTATCTGTCCTTCCATTCTAAATGAAAGCTTTGCTGGATAGAGCAATCTTGGTTGTAGGTCTTTGGATTTCATGACTTGGAATACCTCTTTCCAGCCCCTTCTTGCCTGTAAGGTCTCTTTTGAGAAATCTGCTGACAGTCTGATGGGGACTCCTTTGTAGGTGACTGTCCCCTTAGCTCTTGCTGCTTCTAGGATTCTCTCCTTCATTTTAATCTTGGCTAATGTAATGATGATGTGCCTTGGTGTGTTCCTTCTTGGGTCCAACTTCTTTGGGACTCTCTGAGCTTCCTGGATTTCTTGGAAGTCTATTTCCTTTGCCAGCTTGGGGAAATTCTCCTTTATTATTTGTTCAAATAAGTTTTCCACTGGTGGCTGTTCCTTTCCCCCTTCTGGTACCCCTATAATTTGGATGTTGGAGCATTTAAAGATGTCCTGGAGGTTCCTAAGCCTCTCCTCATTTTTTGAATTCTTGCTTCTTGACTCTTTTCTGTTTGGACATTATTTGCTTTCTTCTGGTCCACTCCATTGATTTGAGTCCCAGTTTCCTTTTCATTGCTATTGGTGTCCTGTGCAATTCCATTCATTTCAATTAGTTTTGCCTTCATATATTTGTGTAATTTGTGGCTATAATCAACCAGTTCTGTGAGGATCCTGATGACCAGTGTTTTAAACTGTGCGTCTGAGAGTTTTGCTGTTTCTTCATCACTTAGATTTATAGGCTCTGGGGCTTTGAGATCTTCTTGAGCCATTTTTGGTCTGTTTGCGCCCTTTAAGTGTGAGGAGCGGAGCCTTGGACTTTCAGGTCGCTGGGGTTGTGACGCTGTATGTGGGGGCGTGGTCAGAGCGGGGGAAATGGTGGCGCCCTCTGCTGTTTCTTGCCGCTGGGTGAGGAGCAGCGCCTTAGGTGTTTCACCTGGGCCGGGCCACTCAGAGTCACTGGGTTATGACGCTGTATGTGGAGGTGGGGTCAGAGCAGGGAAATGGCGGCGCCCTCCCTGCCGCTTGCCGAGGGGACCTGCTGGGTCCCGGTCCAATCGCCCACTCCGTTGCTTGTCTATCCGCGCACCAATGCGCGACCACAGTCAACCCACAGCCCTGCTCCCTTGCTGTTTCCCCGCAGTGGCTAGCTTGATCGCTTGCTCGGTCACTCACTAGGTCCAACCCTGTGCCTGGATTCCGCACGCCTGAGTCCGTCTGACCGAGTTTTCCTGTGCAACCCCGCTCCACCAGCTGCTGGTTTCACCCCTTACCGGTCAGACTGAAGAATTTGTTGTTAACAGACTTCCGAAAAGTTCAGTTTTCTGTGTTCTGGCTGTGTTTTCTGTTGCTAATATTTAGTTGTCTCTAAACTTGGTTGTGTGAGAAGGCACGGCATATCCAGCTATGCCTCCATCTTGGCGGAAGTCTCCTCAGATTTGCTTTGATAGGTTTGTTTGGGATCTTTAAAACACTTAATATGCTTTAGTAATGTGGTATTTTTTAATAACCCATTATGTCTGTCATTCCTAAATTATTTTTGATGATGCATTTAATTTGCAATTTAGGGACTGATAGTTCCTTAAACTTTCCCTTGTAAGTTAATTAATCCTTAGAAATATTTCCAGTAGAAGTTATGAAAGATGATTTATTTCTCAGACCTAAAAGCCTTTTTCCCTGTTAGCGAACCACTCATAGTTGTGTTTCTGTGGGAAAAATACACTCTAGGTTCCAACTCCTGTTTTTGAAATTCATATTTTGCAGTTTGTTCTAATGATGAGAATATATCTTTCTGCTTCCCACCTCATAATCCCCCAGGATTTGGGTAGAGAAAGAGACCCTTTCTGATTCTTACCATCTGAGCCACTACTCAGTGCTTGACACAAAATTGGTTCTCCAGTATGTGAACTGAGCCCTCCTTCCCACACTGGATGGACTTCTTGGGATCAAGGGTCAAAAACAAGGGTAGGAGGGGACAGGGCATACACTTCTGGGGAGGACCTGGATGGGGCAGGTAGGGATGGAATCCAGCAGATTCCATTAGAACAGGTAAATGCTGAGGGCGAGGGGGACAGAAGGATAAGAACTTGCTGTGAAGGTCTGGAAATGTGAAAAGTGAAGGTGCGTGATGTATATGTTGAGTGTTCTGCACTGTCTCTGCTCTAGGTGAAAACTGCTCTTTAAGTAGTGACTCAAAATAGGGACATGGCTTTTTTCTTTCTTTTTTGCAGGGTGGGGACGAATTCTGGTACAGCATTTTGCTATTATTGTTTATATTAATATTTTAATATATTCATGTTTCTAACTTCCAAGGGTTCTTTTGGAGGTATATCTGTTAAAGTCAAGACACTTTATTTTCCCCTACAAGGTCATCCATAAACTGTTCCTGCCTACTTCTCCAACCTCATCTTGTTCTACTTTCCCCTTTTCTCGTAAGTGTTAGTCATACTGACCTTCTTAAGTTTATTTCTAATCTTCAGGCTTCGTTTTCTGTTGTTTTCTCCGGAGCTCAGCATGGCCGAGCATCTCTTGTCATTCATGTCTCTTGTGTCACTTCTAAGAAGCTTTTCCTGAACACCCAGTCTAAAGTAACACATTTAGTTGCTGTTAGTCTTTAAAACATGATCCTGTTTTCTTCATATCACTACTTTCCACTAGAAGGTAAGCTGCATGAAGTCAGGGACAGTCTTTTGTTCTTTGCTATATTCTAAGAACAGTGGTTGGTACACAGCAGGCTTTCAGCAATTTAATGAAATAAATCAGTTAATTAGCTGTCATGTGGTTCATTCAGTGCGAAGTACTTTATTCAAAGTTGGTCACCTTTCTTTATTCAGCAAATATTTATTAAGCATATATCGTGTGTCTTGTTGAGCTCCTGGGACTGCAGAGATGCTTTAGATGTCAGTGCTGGCACTTGAGTGAGGTTGTGTTAGATACTGATTACGGTCAGTGTGGCTTTGCTAGTTAAGTCCAGCAGTGCCACTTAATAGATTGTGACTGTGGCAAGGTATGGTCTCTTATCCTTTACTACCTACCACATAGAATTATTACTAGGAATAAATTAATTATAAAGCCTTAATGTAATGCTTAACAGCATATACACTCAGAGAATGGCTATTATTTTAAAACTTGAATTTTATTTTTATTTTAGCTGGCTTGAATTGAACTGTGGGAATTTTGAGTAAGTGTATGGGTGTCACATAGAAAAGGTAGAAATCCAGCAGAAACATGAAGGAATAGGTGAGTGAGTGAAGTGTAGGAATAATTCAGATCACTGAAGCTTTTTCTCCATTGATGTTTCCAATAACTTTGTATGTGTAATAAACATTCAAATGTGTTAATTTATCATTGCCAGGTTTCCATGGATCTCAATAGTGCCAGCACTGTTGTTCTTCAGGTCTTAACGCAGGCCACCAGTCAGGATACTACTGTGTTAAAGCCAGCTGAGGAGCAGTTGAAACAGTGGGAAACACAGCCCGGTTTCTATTCAGTGTTGCTGGTAAGTTGTTCAAAATAGTTATCAGTATTTTTAATAAAATGAGATACTATTATATTCATTGTTTTAAAAACCTACTTATGTTGCTGATTAACTTAGTGAAACTGATCCAGATCCAAATGTTTGGCTGCCGGTTGCACTGCAATTTACTAATTCAAGGCATGGCTCTTTGAGGGCCCTTTAAGAGATGCTTGTTGATGGGTAAGTAAATAACAGAGCAGGGTATTGATACTATCTGCTTAGAAGGTTACACTGCTGGTTTTCTATTTTAGCACGTTAATGGTGACCTCAAAACTGCAGCTGGTATACTTCCATGTTTTGTCTTCATCCTCGCCCCCGTTGATTTATGTTGTCACAGTTGTTCAGGTGTCCCCACTGCAGCTTCAGTCAGGTCTGCCTTGCCCAATGTGTTTCACTTTAAAACAGTGTTTTGTTTTTTTTCAAACTTAACATTTTTATTTTCTTGACATGTCTGTACTTTTCCTGGGTGTTAAGGGAAATTGCATAATAATTTAATTAACAATATATGTTTTAACTAAACCTTTCTGGGAGTTTAAAGATTTTGGTTAGTTAATCAGTATTGTTTTCTGAATGCCGAATGAAAGCAAGTCTTTTTGTCTTAGAGCCTTCCTTATTTTTTTCTTCTGAAAATAAGAGAGTTCTGATTAGTGTTTGAAACTTTGTTTTGGGGGAGGGCAGTAAGCTACCAGTGGATCAGGATTGATCCAGTATTTGAGACTGTGACACATTTAGACAAAAAACTGTGTACCCTGCCTCGTAAATAGAAAATTATACTAACTGACGTACATATTTTGAATTCATGGCTGCACTGTTTGAGTTTATTAAATTTAGGAAGATACTGGTCGTGATTGTAAGGGAGGTGAAATGTCAAGAGTCATATTTGATAACTCTGAAGGTAACATGAAAGTTGGTTGTTTGGCGTAGTAACAAAAAGGTAAAAAACATTGATTTTTAAAGACGCTAAAGAAAATATCTTAGATAATCCCAGCATCATGATTTTAAATTTTGGGTACAATGTAAATCTTGAGAAAACCTTGAGTATTTTTACTCTTCATATGCTTATTTAGATGAATATGCTCTATAATTAGCCTTGTGTTTTTTCATGCCAAACTATAAAACACTTCCTGGGATTTCTTATTTTAGTTATTTTGGACCTTAAAAATACCAATAGGTATTTTTGCTTAATTGGTAACATTTTTGCATAACATGAATTATTAATATTAAATGCCTAAGACTTTTGTTTTTATTTTTTATTTTTATTTTTATTTTTTAATTATTATTTAGTTATTTTTCAAGTACAGTTCTTTGTCTATTTCTCCCATCCCAGCCCCCCCGCCCCATGCCCCCCACCTCCTTCCCATTTCCCACCCCCCTTAGTTCTCATCCCTGTGTCCTTCCTATTTGTTCCTCCAAATCCCTCCCCCTTTTTCCCCTTAACTTCCCTTCCCTCTTCCCTCTGGTCACTGTCCCCTTGTTCTCTATTTCAGTGTCTTTGTTTTTTTTTTTCCTGCTTGCTTGTTTGTTTTGTTGTTTAGCTTCCTGTTAAAGGTGAGATCATATGGTATTTGTCTTTCAACACCTGGCCTATTTCACTCAGCATAATGCTTTCCAGTTCCATCCGTGTTGTTGCAAAGGGTAGTAGTTCCTTCTTTCTCTCTGCTGTATAGAATTCCATTGTGTATATATACCACAATTTTTTGATCCATTCATTTACTGACGGGCACCTAGGTTGCTTCCAACTCTTGGCTATTGTAAATTGTGCTGCTATGAACATTGTAGTGCATAGGTTCTTTGAAATTGATGTTTTAGGATTCTTAAGATATAATCCTAGCAGTGGAATTGCTGGGTCAAAAGGCAGGTCGATTTTTTTTTTTTCTGAGAAAATTTCATACTGTTTTCCCTAATGGTTGTACCAGTCTGCAATCCCACCAACAGTGAACTAAGGACCCCTTTTCCCCACAACCTCTCCAACATTTGTTGTTTGTTGCTTTGTTTATGATAGCCATCCTGACCAGTGTAAAGTGGTATCTCATTGTGGTTTTAATTTGCATCTCTCTGATAGCTAACGATATTGAGCATCTCTTCATGTGTCTCTGGATGTTCTGTATGTCCTCCTTGGAGAAGTGTCTGTTCAAGTCCTTTTCCCATTTTTTAATTGGGTTGGTTGTCTTAGAGTGGAGTCGTGTAAGTTCTTTGTATATTTTGGAGATTCAACCTTTGTCTGAGGTATCAGTGGCAAATATGTTTTCCCATACAGTTGGTTGTCTTTTTAATTTAATACTGTTTTCTTTAGCCACGCAGAAACTTTTTATTTAGATGAGATCCCATTTGTTTTTTCTTTCCATTATGTCCCTTGCTCTAGGGGACATATCGGTAAAAAAGTTGCTGCGTGAAATAGCTGAGATTTTCTTGCCAATGTTCTCCTCTAGGATTTTAATGGTTTCACAACTTATATTTAAGTGTTTTATCCACCTTGAATTTATTTTGGTGTATGGTGTAAGTCTGTGCTCAAGTTTCATTTTTTTGCACGTTGCTGTCCAGTTCTCCCAGCACCATTTGTTGAAGAGGCTATCTTTACTCCGTTTTATGTTACTGCCCCCTTTGTCGAATATTAATTGAATGTAGAGAGTTGGGTTTATTTCTGGGCTCTCTGTTCTGTTCCATTGGTCGATGTGCCTGTTTTTATGCCAGTACCAGGTTGTTTTGATTACAGTGGCCTTGTAATACAGTTTGATATCGGGTATTGTGATCCCTCCTACTTTGTTCTTCTTTCTCAAAAGTGAAGCTGCTATTCGGAGTCGTTTATGGTTCCATATAAATTTTTGAAGTGTTTATTCTGTGTCTGTGAAATATGCCATTGGTACATTAATAGGTATTGCATTGAATGTGCATATTGCTTTGGGTAGTATGGACATTTTGATGATGTTAATTCTTCCGATCCATGAACAAGGTATATGTTTCCATTTGTTTGTGTCTTCCTTGATTTCTTACTTCAGGGCTGTGTAGTTTTCTGCATACAGGTTTTTTACCTCCTTAGTTAGGTTTATTCCCAGATATTTTATTTTTGTTTTTGTTATATCGAATGGGATTTTTTCCTTGATTTCTGCTTCTGCTGATTCATTGTTGGTATACAAAAATGCCTTTGATTTCCGGATACTGACTTTGTAACCGGCTGTTTTGCCAAATTCATTAATTAGTTCGAGCAGTTGTTTGGTAGAGTCTATAGGATTTTCCATGTACACTGTCATGTCATCTGCAACAGTGGCCGTTTTGCATCCTCCTTTCCTATTTGGATGCCTTTTATTTCCTTTTCTTGTCTTATCGCTGTGGCTAAAACTTCCAATACTATATTGAATAGAAGTGGTGAAAGTGGACATCCTTGTCTTGTTCCTGATCTTAGTGGAAAAGCTTTTAGTTTTTGCCCATTGAGTATGATGTTGGCTGTAGGTCTCTCATATATGGCTTTTATTATATTGAGGAATGCTCCCTCTATTGTCACTTTGCTGAGTGTTTTTTTATCATAAATGGGTGTTGTACCTTATCAAAAGCTTTTTCTGTGTCTATTGATATGATCATGTGGTTTTTGTCTTTGCTTTTGTTTATGTGATGTATTACATTTACTGATTTGCGAATATTGAACCATCCTTGCATCCCTGGGATGAATCCCACTTGGTCATGGTGTATGATCTTTTTGATATATTATTGGATGCGATTTGCCAATATATTGTTGAGGATTTTAGCATTTATGTTCATCAGCAATATTGGCCTGAAGGTTTCTTTCTTTGTTATGTCTCTATCTGGTTTTGGAGTTAAGATGATGCTGGCTTCATAAAAAGAATTTTGGAGTTTTCCATCCTTCTGGAGTTTTTGGAATAGTCTGTGGAGAATAGGGGTTAGCTCTTCCTTAAATGCTTTCTAGAATTCTCCTGTGAAACCATCTGGTCCAGGGCTTTTGTGTGTTGGGAGTTTTTTGATTACTGCTTCAATTTCTTTTGCTGTCATTGGTGTGTTTAGATTTTCTGCTTCTTTTTCATTGAGTTTTGGAAGATTGTATTTTTCTAGAAATGTGTCCATTTCCCCTAGGTTTTCAAATTTCTTGGCATACAGTTCTTCATAGTAATTTCTTACAATCCTTCTATTTCTGTGGTATCAGTTGTAATCTCTCCTCTTTCGTTTCTGATTGTGTTTATTTGTGTCCTCTCTCTTTGTTTCTTGATGAGCCTACTTAAAGGCTTGTCTGTTTTGTTTATCTTCCAAGAGAACCAACTCCTGGATTCATTGATCCTTAGAATTGTGCTTTTAGTTTCTATGTCATTTAATTCTGCTCTAAACTTGGTTATTTCCTTCCTTCTGCTTGCTCTGGGCTGTTTTTGTTGTTGTTCCTTGAGTTCTTGCAGTCATAGGGTTAGGTTGTTTGTTTGAAATGTTTCTGTCTTCTTTAGGTAGGCCTGTATTGCTATAAACTTTCCTCTCAGGACTGTCTTGGCTGTGTCCCATAAGTTTTGGGTTGTTGTGAGTTCATTTTCATTTGTTTCCAGAAACTTTTTGATTTCTTCCCTAATTTCATTCTTGACCCATTTGTTGTTTAATAGCATACCATTCAGTCTCCATGATTTTGGGTGCTTTGGGTTTTTTTCTTTGGGGTTGGTTTCCAGTTTCAGTCCCTTGTGGTCAGAGAAGATGCTTGATATGATTTCAATTTTCTTGAATTTTTTGAGGCTCGTTTTGTGTCCTGTCATGTGGTATATCTTTGAAAATGTTCCATGTGCATTTGAAAAACATGGGTATTTAGCTTCTTTGGGATGAAGGGCTTTATATATATCAGTTAAGTCCATTTCATCTAGAGTGTTGTTTAATGCTACAATATCTCTGTTGATATTTTGTTTGGAAGATCTGTCCATTTTTGATAGTGGGGTGTTAAAATCCCCTACTATATTTGTGTTGCTGTCAATATCTTTCTTGAAGTCCTCTAAGATTTTCTT